GTGCGTTCCTCTAAGTCTTCCTACCAATATGACCAAGTTGCGAAAACAAGGTCAAACAAATTTTATCAGCCAACTAGCTCCAATCGCCGCCTCGTCTATACTCTGTCTCTATCCCTAATACGAAGTCTATGATTGCCATGCCCTAGTTGCTTGTGTGCCAACCCGCAAATGTTGTGGTTCTACTTGTTTTGGTTAGGCTTACTGAATACGTCTCCTCTTTGCTTCCGATTGTTCCTTTCTCGTTCCCTTGCGATCTATTTTCCTAAAATTAAGGATATTACCTTTATCCAGTCGTCTCTTTTTTGCTGATCTTCCTGCTGCCTGGTCTTCTCAGAGTTTCTTTGAGAAATATTCAAAGTTTTCGCTGATCCTGCCTTCTTTAGGTCTTCTGTTCATTAGATTTCTCTCTGTCAGTATTCCGATGACCTCTGGGATCTTGCGTTTTCTTGTATTTTCGCCACATACAACCAACCTTTCGGTTGATTTCCAGTCGATTTCGTGCCCTGTTCGTGCAATGTGTTCCGCTATTTCGGATCTTTTTGTATCCATGTTCCTGCAGAGTCTTTGTTATTTCTTGATTCGTAGGCCGATTTTTCTTCCTGTTTTACCAAATATTTCTGCTCACAGTTGCCGCATTTGATGTGATAAACTCCCGAGCAATCAAGTTTGTCCGTCTTCTCGTTTTGCATCGGTAGACTGATGAAAAGTGTTTTCTTTTCCTTTGTTATCACCCTGATATTCAATTTCCTTACTAACGGTCTCAATTTTTGGTTCAGTTCTGATGAGCGCAAGCAAATCCACTTTTGGTTGTCATCCTGATTCCTGGTCTGATTTTCATAAAATCCAAGTTGAAATCGGCCCTTTATAACATCCACATTTATTGCTATAAATTCTCTGGGGTATCCGTTACTAAAGCAAATCCGTCTCAGTTTTTCCAACTCCTCGTCCCATAACTCATTGTCTGTTAGTCGTAAGCTTCTGATGATCAAACTCCTCAGTATTCCAATCTTCAGTCTGCAGTCATGATGGGACTGAAAATTAAGGATTATTCCCGCATATGAATTCTTTCTGTATAGTCTCCTCATGAGTGTCCCTTTGGAGCGCATGACTTTAATATCCAGAAAGGGTAGTTGTTCATCCTCCTCCACCTCCATTGTGAATTTAATTCTTTCAGCAAGTTGGTTAATAAAGTTGAGGAATTCATTTAGATTTTCCTTTCCATGTGACCAAAGTGCAAAGTAATCATCCAAATATCGCATAAGCACTCTTGGTTGCAGTGGTGACTTTTCGAATTCCCTTTCCAACTTGTCCATGTACACATTTGCCAAAAGAGGTGAGAGTGGAGAGCCCATTGATAGTCAAAATATTTGCTCGTAGATACTGCCGTTAAATTTAAAATATGTTGTCCATACCATCAGGTTGAACAGTCGTGTTAACGATTCTTTCCGTATCCGTTT